AAAGGGATCTTGTGGCAAAGAAAGGGGGTGTTGGGGTGGACCGAAGGTGAAATGGGCCGTTTCAAGCAGATCTTCTTCTAGCGTACTTATGTGCCTCTGGAAGACATTGTTCAACCATTCCACACCCCTGGGTCTGTCAAAATGGATTCCATCCGAAGACACATCCTCCGGGAAGGATCGCTCCATCAAGTCTGCTACATCCAACAATCTGACGGGAAGCACGCTCCTCTGTTGTATCTGCTAAGGTTCCCCACTTTTCGTTCATTTCCATCGCATGTTGGTCGGCCTTCATGTTATAAGGGATGGTGCAGATTGTCAGTATAGCGGGATCCATCTGAATCCGCAACTCCTCCAGAATGCAGCTCAATTTGTCATGTAGCCTCATCACCTTCCTTGACTCACCTCTCTACACGTCATTGGTCCCCATCATCAGAGTCACCGTGTACACTGTCACCATTCCCAGCATCTCGAGTGATGTCAACATCTGCGGCGTTGCGACTCCAGAGAATCTTAAGATTCCAGTCTGCCAGTGCGACTGGATCCGGGTCAGCACTCGTATCAGATTGTCCCCTATGATCAGGTGAACTGCACCCTCCGGTATCCTTGGCTGTGTATAGTATTCAGCCCAAGCCGCCTCATGGAAACAATCCCTTCTCGCCCGCTGCAGTTCCAATCCATATGGTTGTGTCTGTGGTATCTTCCATCCGTGTTCTTCTTGTAACTTTCGATCACCACACTCCTGACCGGTTGCTCTCTCCAAGTGGGGGGTCGCTCATCACTAGTTGAATTTTCACGGGTTCCCAACTGTAACCTGTCATGTAGTTCCTTGAGACGTGACGAACTCCCGCTCATTTGACTGCTGCCCGGGGTTGAGCTCGGGTTATATCCGTGGCAGTCCTGCTTGCATTATGGGGCGTATTGGTTGCGCCTCCATACCACGAATGGAGGACACTGGCTAGGTTGGTATCCACACTTCCTGTCCCTCGTTTTTGTGCTCTTAAGCCGCGCGTTCTAAGTTGAATCGTCCACTTGACCTAGGAACCTCATCCACCTCCATGCGCGACTCTGGCCTTGAGTCTGCAGCTGCTCGTTCTGTAGTCCTGGTCCCTTTTCCTTTTGCCTGTCGAACTCTCGTTGTCGCCGCTAGATCTTTTCATGTTCTGACTTCAACTGCGCACAGTTCGCCTCGTTCTCTCGTATCTTTTGCTCTTGCTGGTACTCTGCTCATAACATATCAAGGTCACGCCGTGCCTGGTCCCTCTCGAGGATCGCTTGATCTCTTTCCAGATTTTCGCGCCATCCCGGTCAAGATTCGCTTCATTCCTCTCCCTCTGCGCCCTCTCTAGTTCCCTCTTCAGATTACTGAGGTCTGGATATGTCTCCTCCGTTTGCTGTGATTGTATCATAGAAGGTGGTTTACTCGTGGACTGGCCCGCGGATCTTGCCGGTGGTCTGGTCGGTAATGGGAACTCCCCCGCGCCGTAATCAGTGTTATTGCTCAAGCCAGGATTTCTCGCCAAGTCGAATCCTCTCACACCTCTTTCCACATTCCATAAAAACCACCTGGTCTGCTCTTGATTGGCCCTTCTGTCGTGTAACCAACCATCAAGACAGCTTCTGTCGCGGACTCCCTGCATTCACCTTGCGCCTCTAACTGCAGAATGGCGTTTAACATCACTGCCATCCTCTCATCCACTTAGGTGTAGTCCAGATACTTCAAGCGTTTATACAGTTCATCGAGCGTAGGTCTCTTGAGCGCAGCAGGTATGCATTTCCAAAAGCGATCTGCCATTTTCACGATTTCTAGATGATCTCGCGTACTAACCAACTTGAGTATTACCGTACCAACCAACTTGAGTCTTACCGTACCAACCAACTTGAGTACTTGAGAAATATCTTCTTTCGAAAGTTGCTGATTGTGAACTTTGTTCAAGGCCTTCTTTTTTTCTTTCAAATGAGTGCGGCTAGGTCGTCAACTCTATTTAACAAGTCAATCTCAAAAGAAAATCCATTTTTACAATGTTGTGTTTTATTCCTAACTCAAACCCCTCCTCATCATCGTGTTTAAAACATTATTCGTCCATCAATTCACTAAAATACTTCAATTGGGAGTTTAAAGAGCGTGCATATTGATCTCATGTTTTAGCACCGTAACACCTCTAAAATTTAATTGTCATGCCAATTGCGTTAAAATCCATTTACCTGCTTCGTGCCCCAATATACCTAACTTGAGACTCCCTTATACCTAACTTGAGACTCCCATGTACCCAACTCAGGCGATACTCAAGTAGTATTTCTTGTGTGGATGTACCATTATTTCCGTTTCTGCGAAGACCTTATGTAGGATAGCGTATAGTTCCCTTAGGCTCAACTTGCCCCTGTTCGGGTCATAAACCGGCATCGATACCTCCATTATTCCTCTTTCGACCATGAAGTCTCGCAGCCTTGTTAGGGCCAGCATCACGTGCTCAGGATCTATCGTGTTCCTTTCACTGACCCTCCTTACCAGAAAGCACAAATACTTAACCGGAACTTTTGAAACTGATGGTGAAAGCGCAGCCATTCCTCCCAACCCCAGTCTCTGCCTGGATAGAAACTCAACGTTCTGATACCCTCTCTTGAAGTCGGCCTCTAGTCTTGATTTGATGCACATGTCCGCCGTTATACAGATCGCGCTGGTCTTGTCTGACAAAATGAAATCGCTGTCCGTGATCAGGATGTTCTCCGAATATTCATTTGGAATAACAAATTTTGTTTTGAAACTCCTCCCTATGGTAGGCTCGAGCTCCTCCTCATCCAGTTCTAGCCCGCTTGATTCTCTCACTTTTCTGACTTTCTTTATCATCAAATTTTCGGTGTGGGTAAGTCCTACCCCACTCCCCGGACAAAAATTTTTATCGTCGATGATGCTGGGTCTAAATTATCTGGTGGTATCTCGAGCGGCCTGTCAGTTGCTGTCCAATCGAAAAGGGGATCTCTCGTTCTCACATGTTTTTCCGCGGACACGTCGACTTGCTGGATGCTCTGCTCTTCATCACCTTTGCTCTTGACATCGCGCATCCACTGTAGTATCCTCAAGTTTGTGTTTTCCCTCCTTTCTATCTCGCTGTGTTCCAGATCTGTCTCTTGTTCTGGTGTGGAGTAGTCTTCCTAGGTGTAGTGTTCACTGTCGTTGATGATTTGCCATTCGTCGTCAGCTGCTAGTTCGCCCACACTCAGTATCTCTTCGCATAATTTATCAGGCTGTATCTTATCAATCAAGAAGTCATGCCTGTACTTATTGTACCTCATTCCTGTCTGTTTGCGATTGCCACTCCTGGTTCCGTCCACTTTGTCATCTCGTCCTGCTCTGGATCAATTCAGTCTTCTTCCACAAAGGATTCCGCCTCTGAGTCCGCTTCTGTCTTTTCATTATCGTCCAAACTCAAGTCCTCATATTTTTCTATGGTGCCTTTTTCGTTTACCTCGCATGCTGGCTCCACCAGTAGGTACTCGAGTATCTCCATATGCTGCGGTACGCACCAGTTTTCTGGGGATGGGACATGGGGTTTCAGGTTTTCATAATGCGCTGCTCGCCCCGTACTCATGCGGTAGAACCATTCTTGCTGGTGTACTCCTGTTATCAAGAACGGTCTTCTCATTTTCTTAAGTAGTTTCTTTGTCGCCTTGGGAAGTATAACATTCTGGAAGACCCAGACGTATTGGCTCAGTGCATATGGTTTCGCTTGCAGTATCTTCTCATCGTATTTCTTCCGCTTTCTCATTTGTGCTTGCGCTGTGTTCCTCCTGCAGAGCTCGTTTAGTTCTTGTTGTCTCTTGACCGCTTCTTTTTCACATAAGCTTGCGGCGATGTCTTTTTCCCTTCGTATTCTGGGTAAAAGAACGTTAGAGGCATTGCTTTTTCCCTGCCCGTTAACATCATGAAGGGACTGATTCCTGTTGTTGAGTGTTGCGTACTGTTGTACGCCCCTACCACTTGCGGCAGATATTTATTTCAGTCTGTCATGTATCTTGAGCAGTATACCCTCAGCATATTCATCAACGTTCTATTCTGTCTCTCCACTAATCCGTTGGTCTGGGGATGGTAGGTCGTTGAGTGCGCTTGAGCAATGTGTGACTTCTTCATCAATTCTTTCGTCAGGTCCCCCACGATGGCTTTGTCGTTATCCGACTGAAATGTCATTGGACAACCATGCCGTGATGTCCAATGCGTTATCAGGTGGTCACAAGTCTCCTCTGCCGAGGCTGTCTGACACGGCACCGCTTCTGCCAACTTTGTGAAGTGATCTATTATGACCAATATCTGGTTATATCCCGACTCTGTCATACAGATCTATTGATGGTCTATCTGCACAATTCCGAGCTTTCAACGGACTTGAGTAAGAACTTCATCTTCCTTGGGTCTTTCACCTGTAGACATGCCACGCATGCATTCAACCGACTCTCGCGAGCTTTCCTTAATCCTGGCCAATCAAACCTGTGTAGTATTCTTTGTTGCACCTTGTCTATCCCCTGGTGCCCATTTGATCATGCGATCTAAACAACACTTCAGTCTGGTACAACTGTGGCAGTATGATGAGGTTATGCTTGTGTAGAATATTCTCCTCATCCTTTCTTCTACATGCTACCATCCCATCGGTGGTGTGATATAGTAAATTCTTTCTCTCTTTGTAGAACTGGCATAAGATCTGGTAGCTGTCCTCCACCAGGTCCCCCTTCTCTTTGGCTCCCATCCGGATCTATTTGGAGAGGTTACTTGTCATCTTGTCATTTTTTTGGGCCCGTATCAGATCTGACAGCCTATATCTTGCCTTGACATGTTTCTTTATTGCCATCATCTGGCCATTCATTTCTCTAGGACTGTGAATGTCATCTTTCAACTTTACGCACACTATCCTCCTCAAGATGTTTCTTTCATCTTCTGGCGCCAGGTTTGTTGTGACAATTTAATTGCATGATATCTCCCTGAACAGTTTCCTCGACACTGCAATTTTCTCAAGTTATTCACCTCCTCGCACTTCCTGCTGATCCAAGTTGTACGTTCCTGAGGAGGGATCCGTCTGTAGTTCTCTGTCGCGGTGTCTCATTTTCTCTTCCGCTAATATCATGCATAGACTATCTTGGTCATCGCTGCTCTTCTCTGAGTCTTCATCCCATCCTTCACACTCCTCGGACAATTTTTCTTCTCCAGAATCTTCCTCCGCTGTGAGCCACTCCCCGGACTCTTGACTTAGTCCAAGGTGTTCAGCCTTCTCCTTGAATGCCACCTTCTTCTTCCCAACCCGAGTCCGCTCAAGTACGTCTTCAGAGATCTTATCAACCAATGACTGCACGACTTCTTTCCCATCAGATTTATTTTCTTTTTAAGGAGTCCTCGCCACCATCCGCTTCATTCCTTCTCAATATCGTGACTTCTGGTTCCTCCTTACTCTTTTCCATGATCACGGGTTTATCGTCTGCTAGTTTCTCGAGTAACCTCCTCATGTCTTCATCTATCACTGCCCTTTGCGTCTCTACTTGTTTCAGATCATAGCCTTTCGCTTTGAGTGTCTCCCTTACAATTTTCGACTTGAGCATTACCTCCATCGGTATCCCTCGGTCTCTATTCAAGATCGTTTTCTCTGAAGATTCCTTCGGTAATTCGGGGTGATCTTCTATCGGTTTGCCTGACTTGTCGAGCTATCTCGTGAGTGGAAGACTTTCATTCGTTTCCTTATCCATGAAGGAAAAGCCATCTTTGATTTCGGGCCTATCTGCCTCTCTTTGTTCCTGCCTCTCTTAGAAGTTACTCTTCTTACTCAAGCTATAGACATTTTGATGTTTGTCTCTTGAGTAGTAGATGTTGGAGCTGAAGTGGGGGGGGGGGGTGCATGGCGGAACCCATGTATTAAGATACGTTATAGATTTCCGGTCCGCCATGCTATGTATTAAGATTGGGTATAGAGTGTACAATGTATTAAGATTAAGATAGGGAATACCGATGGTAGGGTTTTATGGTTTGTGTGATGGTAAGATAATGGTAAGAAAAACGAATTTTTTTTGGATTTTGTCTAATTTTTTCGCAAAAATCTCGGCGCGCGTTACCTAATTGGGAACAGTTAATTGTTAATTACGTGTAGATTGTAGAATAAAGGTTATGTATTTAGTTTTTTGGTGCATGGTAAGTCAATGGTAAGAATTTTTGTGCAAAAACTTGGAACTTTTATCAAAAATTTTTTTTCGAAAAAATCCAAAACACGATAAGATTTTGTTTAATTTGATATGATAAAAATTTATTAGATACTTTTACTTTCTACCTATCTGAATCTATTCTGAAGCTACAGAGACTTCGAAAAGGTCAAGTTTTTTGAGAAAATATTTTAAATTACAAAGAAAGTATATAAATCACTGCATCGTATAGTAAACTTACTGCCATAATTTACACTAACAAATGAAAAAACTACAAATTTACATAAAATTACTTATAAAATTCAAAACATGCACATCATGAATATTATTCTAGTTTGTCAGGTAGAATTTAAAAAGAAGAAATGCTGAATAAATTTTGTAAAATCCACACAAATTATCAGTTTTTTGTAGCTTTCGAGGAACCCTTCGCCGATACTTTTTTGTTAGAAAGGAATAAGTTGTTCTTTTCCGACCCAAAGAATCAGCAAAATAGTAAATTTTATCCAATCGAGCCATCATGATCCAGTGCTCCCCTCTATCATTGCTTGGGGCTGAGTTAACAATTGCAAAAGAGTATTTTGTTAGTTGAGGTACTTTATCAGAGGGGTAAGATCCCATGTACTTGAATCTGAGTTTAGGAATTCTTTCAATAATTTGCAGAAGTGAAAAATTATCCATTTTCGCAAATGTTAGCTGATTTACATATAAAACAAAGAAATAGAAAGTATGATATTGTAATTTAGGATGGAAAATCCTAAAGTTATTGACTTACTCGCATTTAGGTACTGAATCAACAAAGTCCCATACACAAAACTTGTGAACTGGACAAAATTTGTTGAACACTGATTTACAGTCTAGGTTGAAGAAATGTTTTGGGTTTTCAATTAAACAGCATTCATTAGCTTCTTTTTCTGGAGATTTAGGTCTGAAGAAAAACAAAATATATAGTACAGAGACAATCACAATGAAAAGTCCCAAAAAAGCTACAATATTTTTATAGGAACCTGAAAACTCAAAAAAACTAAACATTTTTAGCGACTGTTCCGAATTTGTCAATTTGAACATTTGATGGTCTTTCTCCCAAGACTATCACTTCCGTTACTTGCTCCAAGGGAAACTGAAAAAACATTTCTAATCTCAAGCTTTCTCCACTTAGTTCTGGATAATGCAACTGTTCAGCAGCATCCTGTAGTGAAGTCAAGTCAAAAACTAGAATATAGTGATTTTGAAAATCTTCCATAGGAAGAGCTGGGAAATCTTCGTTAAACTCTATTGCTTTCATTGTTGTAACATAGGGTCGACAAGGAGAAGTTGTATCTAATGAAATAATTGCTCTTCCACCCAGAATAATTCTAAGCTCTCTTAAATGAAATTGTTGATAATTGAAAGGATTTTCATAAAAAGATCCCGCAACAGCCGAATTGGTATTCATTGCAACAGCTTTCCTTCTGATTGGGGCATTATTGAAAACATTTTCCTGAATAAACTGGTTTTGACGAGATGGAATGATAAAGGTTCTTGCTATAGTTTCCATGTAATTGTATTGAGCAGGTTCTCTTTCCAGATTCCATTGCAAGTATTGATGATTAGGTTCAGCAACTAAAATTCTTCTAGTAAACAACGAACAATCAACTATTTTCAGACTGACATTTGGATTATCAGATAACATGTAAAAATTAGGTCTAGCTCGAATAAGTTTAATTCGAACTTTGGTATTTGGTAGCAACAGTTTTTCGCAAGTAAACAAATCAATGGCGAGCCTCCCATAGAGTGAAAAAGTTATCCCTGTTCCCAAGGAGTTTGCTCTATCAGTGAATGGATGCATATCAAATGCATCAAGATTTTCTTCAAAACTGAATCCATGACAAGCAAGAATTCCTTTATTACTCACTGCTGACTTTGAATTCGTTCGATATCTGTGCCTTCGATATCTGTGACTTTGAATTCGAGTTGAATTCGTTCGATATCTGTGCTTTATGAGGATATAATCCATTGGCATTGTAAACCATTGTATTGTTAAAATAAACTTCACAGTTCGAGAATAGAGAATGTAGTAGATTTTTTACATAAGTTAAGTATGTTTGTGGTTCCTCATCTGAATCTTCCTCCGATTTTGCTTTAAGTTCTGCTTTTTCTTTTTTGAAAGCATCAAACAATCTTCCTTTAAATAGTTGAAGCTTTAAGCTAAGATGGGTATCACGCATATCCAAGTAGAGGTTACGATCCGTTTCAAATTCAAACTCAATACTGCTTTCATCCAGAGAAGTACTGGGGAATACTTCTTGTGTGTAAGATGACATAATTGTTTCCAAAACTGGGACTTTATCAAAAATCTCCAATGAAGAATTTGTAAAAGCCCCGTACCGAAAATGGCTTTGGTTTACACTCATTTTATATTGTCAAAAATGTCTTTGCGAGAGCGACTGTTTTTCGATCTGCTTTTTCGAGAAATGGATCTGGTTCTAGCTGTTTTACGCCTAGATTTCTTTTTTCCACCTCCCAATTGTTTCCGAACTGTTTTTGTTCCTACATCTTTTGCAAATGTTTTGAGTTTTTTACGTCCACTAACAACTTCCCCAATCTCTGGATCAGCGATTTCAAACAAATCTGCCCCAATTCTTTTTGCAGCTGGGACTATATATTTTTTAATAAAGGGGATTGCAGTTCTCCCAAGAGTTTGCGCAGGAGCTCCAAAACCTCTTCCACGCTGTCTTGCATGTCCTCGAAAAATAGGGAAATCAGCTGATTTTTGAGCAACCATTTCGTATGAAGTTTAAATCAAAAATGATTATTCGAAATCTTGCGGAACAAGAGAACAACTCGAGTGATTCCTACGGACACAAAAGGAATTTTTTCGCCTGTACTATCTCTTAGTTCTATCTTGATACTATGGAAAGAATTTTTCAACAGCTTTTTAAACTGTAAATTTGTAAAGGATTGATAATTCATGTACTGTCCTGTAGAAATTATATCTCCACTCTTCACTTTGGAGATAAATGGAATACAACGCAATAAGGGAGTTTTTGTATCACCAACTATGTTATATTCTATAATATCACTGTATATCATTAGGGAATGTATTCTTATAATGTCGTAAGAATACTGAGGATAATGTGGACCTTTTCCTTTCATTATAACCCCTGTTTGATTTTGCTCTAAATCACAACCAAAAATGTGGCTCAAATCAGCACTCTGAATTATAAACACTGATTGACTCTCAGGTAAATGAACAGCAACTTTTTGTGTAATTTTATCTACTGATACATAGATTCCGTTATATTCAAAAACTTGAGCTCCTAGACGTTCTCGAATTTTGTTGTTCATGGCTACAACTATATCAACAATACTTGGATACAATCCTGGTTCAATGTTCATCGGTACAATCTTTCTTTTCTCCTCAGAACTTTCTCTTCCATCTACGAATGTAAACTTTCCCTCTGTAACATTTTGGTACAAAGAAGGGTATGATTTTTCTGAAATAGCATCCTCCCATTCTCCTTTCAAATGTGTTTGTTCAGGTAGAAAATTTGTAAAAGAACTAAGACTATTATTCGGATAACAATTAAAAGAAGCGCTGGAAACCAACTCAATAGTGAAAGAATCCATGACAACTGCTCGGTAAAAATTTAGTTTAATAATGATTTACTTTTAATCAGAACATTTTCTAAGCTCTTTTTCATAAAATTTTCCAAGAATTTCCTCTTTGTCGAGATCTTTGATGATGTATGTTGGAGGCTTTTTTGTAGAGACTGCCGAAATTTCAAAAATTTCATCTGTAAATTGTGGTTTATATCCTTTTCGGAACGGAATATCATTCTTTGAAATTCTCACTCTGTCTCCAACTTTGAATTTTAGTTTCTTATACCTTGTTAGAGATTTATTGTACAAAACTGAGAGAACTTATTGTACAAATCACGACAGAACCCACTTTCCCTACAAAAGACCCCTTTCTACAGATTCTCTTCTAGCAAAGATAAAAGATGGATCTCTTTTTGGTTACGTTCAGTGCGACTTAGTTGTTCCTGATGAACTGAAATCGAAATTTGCGAATTTTCCTCCAATTTTCAAAAATACTGATGTCGGAAGAGATGATATTGGAGATTACTTGAAAAACTATGCGATCGAGAACGAAATGTTAAAGCATCCTCAGAGAATGTTGATATCTAGTTTCAAGCTGGAGAATGGAAAAGTTATAACTCCTCTCTTCAACTTTTATTTAGAACTTGGCTTGCAATGCACCAAAATTTATCGTTTTGTTGAATATTCTCCTCGGAAATGCTTTAATAGTTTCGTTCAGTCAGTGGTTGATGCTAGAAGAGAAGGAGATGAAAACCCTCTATCAGGAGTTGTAGCAGAAACAATGAAGCTCTTGGGTAATTCCTCCTATGGATATCAGATCATGGATAGATCCAGGCATA